ATATTAGATAAACAGTTGAAATTTGTACACTGTGGTCCTAAGGAGTTTTTTTTTTCATGTAGAAACTGATAAAGGGAAATTTTTAGGAGCGTCTAGGTTTCATGGAAACTGATGTTTAGAAACTTACATGAGGAAATGAAACACTTCAAACTAAAGAAAAACTGCTGTTGTTATAAAGACTGGCAAAGGTTATGGCAAACAATAGTGGATCGCCTGAATGCCTGAAACAAACTTTTTCTAATCACTGCGCTTAATGGAAAGCATTGTAATCATATCATACAAGCATCCTCGTTTGTTCAAAATGAACAGTGGAAGTAAATAATGTAACGTGTGAGTTCATTAATATTACTCTTTAATGTTCCACATTTTATCAATATTTCTACAGACWTGACTGGACCAAAAAAGGAAATAGGTCAAGATTAAATGCAAGAACATTTTTACAGAATGGTATCTGAAAAAGATGTTGACTACAAATGACTACTAATGATTTAGAAGATGCTGCTCACATATTTCATCCCTGTTTTTTTATTTTAGCCATTAAGAAAAGGCATGTGTCAGTACAGGGGGTAGCCCACCATCCCCAGAATTCAAGCCAGCAGAAGAGCATTCCACTACTGAATATGCAACATAATCACACATTTCTGTAGGATGATATGGACTGCTTTGTGCTGTGCTGAATTTTAGGACCCAGCAGTCTGCACAGGTGCCATCCCCAGAAAAGGTAACACTTATAAAGGTAATTGTCAGGAAAAACCAACAGTTTGGACCTGTCATCTGAAAGCCCTTCTCAATATAAGTGCTTCATCATCATCATCATTAAGAAATGGTCACGCCATTGTAAAGGACGACATGTGTTTGGAGCAACTGATACGGTTTGACTTCATTGACAACATCTTTGTTTTTTATCAACCATTTCTCAAATCCCCTCAACCCATTTGATAGTCTATTAAAGACCTTTCTGTCTAACTTAGAACAGCAGATTATTCAGAAACACATTCAAACAGTAACAATGCCCACATGGAGAGTTATAGCATTTATAAAGATAACCATCATAATGTTAAAATGTTAATAGTACCTGACTGAATGTCAAAATGAAYCAGTGGTATTTTATTGCAGGCTGAAAAAACAGGCAGAATCACTGAGAAACACAGTGGTTTCTGATGGGTGTGACCTGACTGAGCAGATAAAACACCAGGTTTAACTAAGCCTGGCTCTTAGCCTGGTCTGGAGCAGGCTGGCTGCACAGGATAAATCATCATGGTAAATTATGCACCACTGCAATTGTGAAACCGAATCGGCTTAAGTCAACAAGGATATCTTAAAAATCCCAGGCTTAATCCCCTATCCAGGTTTTGTTGAACACCCCTCGGGTCCATGGGTCATTTGGTCCATGTTGCTGTTTATTTACATACTAGCAATGTGTTAAACTAATCCCAGAAAAGAAATAATGCAAAACAAAATTTGCTGGAAAACAWTTTACTCGCTGTGTTGTATGAAACCGGTCCAGGATGTAAAAATAAAAAATAAAAAAAAGCCTTGGGGACCACTGATTTAAACCAAAACCAAACCAAAAATTTCAAAAATTTATATTTAGAAAGGAGAAAAAAAAAGAAGTCATGGGCAAATTCTGAGGCTGAATTTCTAAATGTTTGGATGATGATTTGAATATTTTAGGATAAACTGACAGTTTTAAAATGTTTATTTTGTGTGTGTGTGTGTGT